CACACTGTACAGTTCAAGTTCTAGAATGTAGTGACGACTGTTGCTCCAAACATCCACATGCAGGAAATCTGCCACAAACCTGGACTTCTTTAGCACCTGGTTTCCTTAATGAACAGATTTCACCATAGACTCAACAAAAGCTGGGATATTTAATATCCATATTAAATAGCAGACGGTGATGTAGGTGATGAATTCAAAATGACCAAAAGAGCGCTATGTTTTCTTGGGAATGTAGCATGCTAGCTGATCTTTTGTTTCTCCACATCACAGCGTGCACATCTTCAGGGTCGACTACATCTCCATTCACATTAGACTTGATTTCTTTTTCACATGGATGCATTGCTTGTCTCAAGACAGTAGTGTCATACAGAAAATAACCACCAGGGTTTGGGCTTCTTGCCACAACATGGTTAACATTTATGTGTTCCGTCTTGATGATCTTCCGATGACACACGACTTATTTGTTCTGTGACATCTGTCGAGACTGACGCAGGCGCTTTACTCCTCCCCTGGACACTATTTACAGAACTCAAGATCATTTAAAAAGAAAGCTGGAAGGGGGCGGGGGACTTAAAGCATCATCAGTCAAGAGAACAGTCATCAATGCCATGGCAATTTTATTTTAAGGTTGGTGAATAAACTGTTTTTGAAGCATTATGTACTGTTATATTTTGGAATAGACAACAGTAACTGTGAAGCACTTGGAAACTGTTGACAGTTGGTCCTACGTCTGTCACTGTCAAGCTGCCAGTCGCCGCCCATGCTGTGATGTGAGCACAAAGCACTAGCGTCTGAAAACCAGACGGCTCTTATTCAACGTGTCAATCTTCACCTCGCCAGGCTGGATCAAAAGAAACATCCAAGGCTTCCAAGCAACTGTGGCTCCATGCAGACAGCAATCTGATTGGAAAGTTTGGTTGTTGTTGTTTTTTGTTTTTTTTTACCTCAGGACAAAGCACGGCCAAGTTCAGATTAATTGCTCAGTTGCTATGACAACTGGGTGATATCCAGCATGTTACTGCACAGTAGTGAGGATGTTGCGGTGGATAAAAGTAGGAGCTAAATATTGACTTCACAAACTTGTCTTAGAGGGTAGGGTTCCACGTCACTGGTGAACAAACGTCAGCGAACTGCCAGACTTTCCACCAGGATCTGGGTCTGTTTGTCCAGCAAGGTGTGCCACTGAGGAACCAGTTCTACCTCTGCAGCGTGTTTCATTCTATACGACTGACTACTTGTACTGTTAAGGGCGGTGATAGAATATCGGTTATTTAAACCCTTGTTGCATTAAAACAGTCAATTTATGTGCATTTGCAAATTCTACGTCCAAACACATGCAAAAACAGCTGCACTGTGATTGGACGCTCCTCCTTGCAGAAAATAGAGCAATGAACAATTCCTCTCAAAATAAACTTTTATCACTTTTATTTTCTGTTTGAGTGACGTCACATGAACGACATCGGATACGAGGTCTTTTAAATGGGACTCTGAAACAAAGATTGTTTTTTATTTAATTTTAACGTTAACGTTAATTGTCTTAAGTATCCACAATATTTTTGAAGAGGACGGGTTTTTTAATGTTTACTTTTTAATTTAATTTTAACATTAACAATAATTGTCTAAAGGATCCACAATATTTTTGAAGAGGACGGGTTTTAACATAAAGGACAATCCTGCACTCCACCCAGAGTACTTACATTCTCACCTCACCTGTTCTCACCTCACCTGCAGCACCTGATTTCTCATTTAAACCAACCAGTACAGAGCACTGCCACTTAAAACAAAGGTTTTGTAGTTGGACCTGTAAACATGAACGTACGTTGGGCTTCTACAGGGTCTCTGATTGGTTGTAATGATGTTGCAGGAAGGCACCAAAATCTTCATTCTTTGATTGGAGGTGAACAGCAGCAGTAGCATTTCAGTTTGACACCTTCTAATCAAATAAACCAAACACAGGAGAGACGGAGCTGCAACCCTGACAGGAGCTGTTAATGGGAACAAATGGTTACTAGGGAGACAGCTCCCAGCACCTGATTTCCCAGTAGGATCTTTTTCCATGGATGCAGCTCAGAATGCTAAGGAACACAGGGGCTGGAAGTCATGTACAGTACGACAGGACAGACATTTGAGGCCAAAAAAATATATAAATAAAAGAGAATTGTTCTGCTGGATTTGTCCAAATTTCTCTTGTAAAATTCAATCACATTTAGCGGCAAATGTTTTGTTAAATGAAGTAATTTAGCAGTACGGCAAACATATAAGTCAATGTTGTGGGTAACACTTTAAAATGAAGAGGCACTGTTTAATTAACATGGTTCTGATATTGCCTTAATGGCTAAATCCGACATGGGATAATGGGGCTGATTATGGGGCTGATCCATTACGCTGAATGACAATGGAAGTAAAACAAGACATTTTAAAGAATTTCACAGTTTCAAGCACCTGCAGAATCTCTGGAATTGAACCACAGGTCCGTCTAAGGTTTCACACAACCAGCACCCAAGACAGAGCACTGCATTTACCGCAAAGACCAAGTGTTAAATTAAACTGTACAAGTTCTAGACTGTGGTTCTGTGGTCTCAAGAGGGTCAGCTGACTTGGCTTTTTTCCCACCTCATGATTGCTGAGAACAATAGCCATGACCGCACAGCCGGACTTCAAACGACTGACAGCGCACACATTCATCCTCCTCACTGAGTAAAAAGCCACAGAACCACGACGGACGACACATTACTGATGGCTCTGTTTGACTTTAATTCCACGATTGACACTCAGTACACACAAATCTGTTGTTTTAAGTATATTAGCTTTGAGCCGGTTAAATACTGTAGCCACTTCATCATCCTGCACACTGTTCACTGAGACAGTCGCTTCAACTCACCTGTTCAAGGCCGTCGTCTTCTGGTAGTGTCCCTGTGTCGCCATTACTGTTGATTGGAATCTCCATTGTTGCTGCTTTGCTCATGATGCTCTCTGTCATTTTTTTCGCTGTTTCTGAAAGAGAGTGAATACGAACAGATCAAGATGACAAAAAAAAAAACAAAAAAAAAACACATTGAGGTGAAAACCCGCACAGCTTTCAAGAACAGAGACCAAAGAGAGTCGTCGCCACAGCTAGAGCATTAGGCCGATGAGGGAAGAATAATAGATAAATGTGAGGAGAAGGATTTCAAAGAGCAAGGCTACAGTTTGGAATAAATGAGCACGGTGAAAACACCCACAGTATGACCACAACAACAAGCTACGATGAACTATCTATTCCACCAAGTAGAAAAGGCAGCGTCCACTCTTTAAAAAAGCCACACAAAAAAAGCATTTTGGCTGGTTATTATAGTTCGGACTGATGTGGTCTGCTTCATCTAATAAGTGCATAAATGCATGAGAGGCAGGGCAGTAACTGCTCTTTGGTTATGGCTTTTTACAGGAATAACAACTTCACAGCTTAATCAATTAAAGAGTCAGCAAGAACTGGCAGCTCAGAGCTTGAAAAACTCACGAACACAACAGTATTCAGACATCAAGCTTAATTCAAGGTGATTGTCGATCAGCTTAAATATTTAATCTTCATTAAACGCATGGAAGTCTCTACTTAACTCACAATCAACCACAACATTTTTAGTTGTTCTAAATATACCTTTAGAATGTGGTTGTTGTTCTAAATATACCTTTAGAATGTTTTTTTTCCAAATGTACTTTTTGGAGCGTTGGACCATAATCTGTGTATTATAGGAGGAGCTGTTTGTCATGGGATATATTTACATCCACAAACAATATTTACATTTCTAAAGCAGGTAAATACGACACTATTTGAAAATCTGCAAGTGCATTGTTAACTGACATTGTCGGAGCTAAAGGATCGGTTAATAATTTGATCAACTAGGCACAAGTGTAGTCAAAAGAAGGCAACCGTATACGTCTTGTTCCACGGGATTCCCACACCTCCTGCACACAAATGTTTGTGCCGTGCCCTGACCATACACTGCAAATGAGACATCTGTTGACTTTACACATCACAGTAGAACAGATGCATTTTCTTCTCCACACAATAGGCCTTCTGTGAGACGGCTATCACAAATTATGAAACATCCTTACTTTTAATTATTTACCAAACTAAACTGAGCAAACGGGTGCAGCAATTTAATGGAAACCCGCTAAGTGTTGAACACTGACAGTATGACACAGTAACGTAAGCCATTTGTAGCTTTTTGGGGAAAAAAGATTATTAATGTAAAATCAACATTTGTTTTTAAATACCTGTAATCTCAGCAATGGGGCTGCTGTGGTTGAACTTTCACTGTTTACATGCCAATGTGTCCCTCAGCAAAACGCATGTCTGAATTGTCCCAGGAAACTTAAAGTGGTTGAATACACCAGGGTGAAAACAGACTAATGTCGTAAGGTGATTGGTGTGGTCAGTTAGACTGGCTTTTCTGGCATTTTTGACTGAATGAAAGGCCAGTTTGTGACAATGTTCAACTACTTCACCATGCATAGCCTGTGTATTTTAAAGAACTGGTCTGACTGGATGTTTCACAGCCAATTCAAAAAGTCTAATGTCAACAAATGTAGTCACGGATTGATTTTTGTTAACCTTATTGCTTCATATATGCAGTTGGAAACAAGTAGAAATGGAAATCATTCCACAAATGTCATTAGAGTCTGAACTTGACATGACTGTTGCTTTCCTAGTATATTGATATTGTATAGATCGATTGATATATCAATAGATGGAGAACAGAGCAAAAAGGGGACGTGGTCAGGTTTTTAACTTCAGTCAGGTTGTTGTTGTTGATTTGTCTGCATTACGATGTGTGTAGTTTTCTTTGTACATTCAATATATTTCTGTCTGTAATTCTATTTTGTTGCTGCTGTCCTCTTGGCCAGGTCTCCATACATAATAAAAGTAATGAATTAGAAGAAGTCAAGGGCAAAAATAAATCACACCGACTGAAGCAAACGTCAGTACTTTGTGAGGAATATTTATCAATGTCAATAAAAAAAATTCTATAGTTGTTATTTTAAAGTGGGTTTTAAAAAAATAATATGTAGTACTAACTTTATGAAGCTTCTCCTGTTAAATTAGCGTTACCTTTCAACACAAGTGATTTATAAAATAAAGCTAAATAAGGCGTAACAGGCGTTGGACAGCACATATTTTGCTACCATATGCCACACAGTGCAGCACAGGTGCACAGGCATA